TTGCTTCGACCCTCACCTCCACCATGAGGATGATCAATGGGATTCATTGCCACTCCCCGAACAACCGGCCTGCGACCCAACCACCGACTCTGTCCAGCCTTCCTGAGTTTCCGAGTGCCATGGCTAGGATTTGATACCACACCAACGGTGGCCCTGCATTTGGAGTCAACCCTCTTTTCAGCACCGGAGGGCAGTCTTATTATACAGTAGGCTGCGCTGGGCTCTTTCAGGATCTTAGCAGAAGTCCCTGCAGCTCGAACCAGCTTCCCACCTTGTCCGGGGTTCATCTCAATGTTGTGGATGATAGTTCCAATTCGCATGGCACCAAGCGGCATGCAACTTCCAATTTGTGAATTGATGTCAAGATGAAGCAACTCCCTTTTCATGTTCTCAATTAACGACTGATTATTCATGTCAGCAGCAACTGCCAAATAAAAATTCACCAAAGTTTAACAAATAATCAAATATTTGATAGATCTAGCAGACAGATTTTACTTTTTCTAAAAATAATTCTGCTCTGCAAGGATTATAAGAATGTTAGCCTTTTTAATTTCAAATTTTGTTTCATTTTATATTCCAATTTCCTAGCACCCAATCAGGAAATACAAATCAAACCGCACCAAGCTTCCCACAATTAAAAAGAAAAAGAAAAAGAAAAAGAGAGAGAGGATCGAATGATATGAAAAAAAGAGTACCGGCAGAGGAGAAGCTGCGATGCGCAGTGTTAGCAATGGGGGAGGGGCAGATGAATGGGCGGAGGAGCCTCCATACAGCAGCTCGACTCCGCCACAGAGCCATATAGTCTTTCACTTCCTTTCTCTCTTAGTTTTCGACTGTTGCTAGGGATTTTCGCCACCGCCGGTCTTCGGAGTCTGAAGTCGGTAACTTTGAGTTTGGGAGTGAGGGAAGAGGAAGAAATTCAGGATTTTGCCCCATTCGGCCCAATAATTCTGGATTTTAAGGGACGACCTCCAATGGAATTTAAGAAGCCCATGGTTGCAAAACGAAGCCCATAGTTAGATTTTTTTTCTTTTATTTTATGATAAAAGCGTTTTTTATTTTTTAAAAATATTTTACATATTTTATATAAAAAATTTAAGGACCTGTTTTACGGTTTGAAATGTATTAGATCATAAATCAGGGATCATTAGAAGGAAAAGGCCTTCATATCAAAAGGTTTAATCCTCATCAATAGTTAGTGTTATATAATTCGATATAATCTAAATTGTATAACATTTCTTTCAAAAATTATTATGTTGACAGAACCATATAACTTAAACAAATTAAGGGTGAGTCTTCTAATAACATTGGAGAGTCCAACTATTCTTATTTAATTATATAAGCAATCTAAACTAAAAAATAAAAATAAAAACTATTTATATATCAGAATCCTGTGTTACAGTCTGCCCTGTAACGGACTGTAACATCAAGACCCTTGATAGGGGGAGAGGAGGGCCCAATGTCAAGGGGCCCTCCCCCTTTGAATGGTGATGATGGTTATAATTTGCTACAAGGTGGACTGTAACACAGTTTTTTGTTTATTAATTAACACAAACAAAATATGAAAAATCGTTTTAAAATATGAACTGTATTAAATTATAAAATATAAACTTTTAAATAAAAGAAGCCCTAATATTGAAATCCTTTGTAATTTAAATATTTTTACTTTACAATTCAATATACTTAAGATACTAGATAGCAAATTCAACAAAATAATAAAGAAAACAAAAGAAGAGGGTGATGGGAAAGGGGTGTGCCAATGATCACCAATGTATTTGCTAGGACAATCAATATTATATTTAACATTAATATGTAATTTTTTTGTCTTAATATTTAAAATATTAATTTATAAAATAATTTATTTTATTAAATAATAAATATTAATTATTTTATTTATTATTATCTACTTTTTAATAATTAAATTAAATACAAAGTAAAATTAATATCTTTTAATCCCATTTTAGTGGTTATAACAAATAAATCGATCCTCGTAACGCCATATCGATGCGAATAGTTTGCTTTCTTTTTTAAACAAAGTTACATATTAGAGGTTTTTTTTTTTAAATAATTATATTAGATTTCGATTAATTCAGCATCAAAAACTTTTATAATATCTGTTTTTTCATTTATAAAATACAAATTTAAAATTTTATTTTTAAAAAATTAAAATTTTTTTATTCACACTAATAAATTATTAATTAGTATCACAGGCTTTAAATAAGGAAAAAAAAACTTAAATCGAAAAAGTTTTACGTAGAATGCCCTACAAAAGCTTCTCGCGAACGGCTTGCTTTTACTCTCCCAATTTTTTTTTAATTATTATTATATGAAAGATTAGAGTGGGGCTGTCGCATTACCTTTTTGAGCAAAATATACTTCTAAAAATCGACCAAAGTCCGTATTTACACCCTTCCTTACCCTTCCTTTGTTATTATTTTTTTACGATTAACAATCTCAAATAATTTTCATTTTGGTTAATACTCTTTATTTTTTAAAATTAATAAAAAACTCAATATTTTAATGGTAAATCACTTGCCAATCACGTAAAGGTTAATAATTATTAAAAAATATAATACATAATATCCAAATAATAATATGAGCATTATGTAGTATTATAAATCCTATGTAAAACTTTTTTTATGAAGTGGCATTATTTTTGCATACGTGTAGTGGAGGCCACTTGTTGGCCTGTCCCCGTGTCCCAACCAAAAAAAACTAAAACAGGGTGATGCAGAAGTCAAAAATGGTTGGACTGATGTGTGGCTTAGAGGAGATGCCAGTTCGTTGGTTGATCTCACTGTGGAAACGAGGCAGGTCAAATGTGCAGAGGCACAAAGGCATGTTAGTCACATAAACATGGTCATACAGGAACTTACCAATCATGTTGTGCAAATAAATTGGCTCAAATTGGAGAAGCCTAAATTCTGGAGGCATATTCCTTCTAATGAAGTTCTGCAAATTATGAATTAAGATGCAGAGGATGATAAATTCATTCTTCTTAAAAGAAAATCAGATTTTTTTTTGTTTCCTTTGTGCATTTGTATTTCTTTTCTTTTATTCTTTCTTTATTATTTCATGTAAGATTCTTAGTGTAGGCATCTTACTTTCTTTGTATACAATCAAGGACCCCAATATGTAAAAGTCACCTTAAGTTCTGTCAAAGGACCTACCATCAAAGTGGTCTCGACCTAGAAGTTGCAAGTTGCAAGTTGCAACACGAAATTTCAGACTATATTGCAGGAAAAAAAAAGGGGTCAAATTTTGGATAGATTGGATGAAAACAATAAGAAAGTTGTACAATCAATATTATATTTAACATTAATATGTAATTTTTTTTGTCTTAATATTTAAAATATTAATTTATAAAATAATTTATTTTTATTAAATAATAATTATTAATTATTTTATTTATTATTAATTATTTTTTAATAATTAAATTAAATACAAAGTAAAATTAATATTTTTTAATCTCATTTTAATGGTTTTAACGAATAAATCGGCCCTCATAAGTCATAACCCTATCCACGCGAATGGTATGCTTTCTTTTTTTCAACAAAGTTACATTTTAGATGAATATATTGCAGGAGACGAGTTTTGGGTTGAAGAGGTTCCTGATCCAATCAAGGCTTTTGTACTAAATGATATGGCTTAGTCTGTATGGAGTACACCTTCCTCATTTTTTAGGCATGAAATAATACTCAGTAGTATTGACCATCAAAAAAAAAAACAAAGTTACATTTTAGAGGCTTTAAATAAATAAAAAACTTAAATCTAAAAAGTTTTACGCAGAGTGATCTGCCAGAGCTTCTCGCGAAAGGCTTGCTTTTAGTCACCCACTTTTTTTTTTTTTTAATTATTATTATATGACAGATTAGAGTGGGACTGTCGCATTTCCCTTTTTGGGGAAAAACATACTTTTCTGCTGATCGTTTGCGTGAGTCACGACTAGCTGTGGGCAAAATTTGGTTTCGGTTGAAATTAAAATTGGTTTTAAATTAATTAATTTTTTTTTTAATTTTAAAAATTGAAATTGAATGAAATTTTTTATCAATCCATCAGTTCAATTATCAATAAATTTGGTTTGTTTATATTTGGTTTTGAGTTTTATCAAATAAACATTAATTATTTTTTTAATAATAAATTATATTTTATATTATATTTTATCGTATTTTATTAAATTTTTCTAAATTTTAATTTTTAAGAGATTTGTTTTGATTCTTAATTAATGAAAGGTTCAATCAAAATTAAATCAAAATTTATTTAATTAATATCAAATCAAAATAATAAAATTTGAAAACTATTGAAATTAAACCAAATTTATTTTTTTTGTTTGATTTTTAAGTACCCACCCGAATATCCAACCTATTCACCCCTAGTCACGATCTTTCCATCCATTTTGAATATATCTTTGATTGACAGCTTCATCCATTTGCGTGAGACAAGACTAATATTGCTTTAAGGCTTGCTACATACTTGATTTCCTTCGTGTTGTAGATCCATCCCCCTTCTTCGCTTATTTATTTTTTTTGCGCTAATATAATTTGGATAATATAATTTGGATTACATAATATTTTTTAAAAAATTATTATATCAATAAAATTATTAAATAATAAATATTAATTATTTTATATATTATTATATATTTTTAATAATTAAATTAAATACGAAGTAAAATTAATATTTTTTAACTCATTTTTAATGATTTTAACAAATAAACAGAAAAGTATATTTGCCACAAACACGTCGCTTGGGGCACTCGCCTCCAGCACTCTCCGGCCAATACATGCCTTTTTATTGGGCTACGTAACGTAAGCTTGACAGCAACCTCTCGTACCAAAATAACGTGGCCCAATGAAAGTGGAAGTGTTGGCCGGAGAGTGCAGGAGGCGAGTGCCGCTGCTCATTTTCAGAAGATCTACATCCTTACGGTTACGGGTAATTGGTCAATTATGGTGGACAGTCGAGAATGGACTGGTTGGGCACTTCACCAGCCACTTCATTCTCCACCATAAATCAGACGGCCATATCACCTGAAGACACTCGCAATCTTCCCAACTCTCACGTTCATAAGAGAAATCCCATTTCTCCGCCCAAAAATCATCCACGTTGAAACTTCCTCCATCCCACCAATTTCCCTAATTGCAACTCCCAGAAATCCCTAATCGCAATCCCAAATTTTTACCCAAAAAAATCCCTCTGAAAAGCGAAATTGGGAAGAGAAGGAAGATGATTGATGATCAAGAATTGCAACAACTGCCTGCGAGGAACGAAAATATGATCGCCAATTATGAAAAGGTTTTTCCTTTTTCTTTTTTGAATCATTTTGTTTTAAGCTGTTTTTTAGTTTTCTTTTTGACTTTACACAATCCTCCTTTTACATATTTAATTCCAGAGAGGAAATATTTTGCGAGTAGTAGTTGTAGATCTTGCCAAATCAGAGAGGATTGTAGCTCGTAATCTCCTACACCAAAATTCCCCAAGATATGGGCATTACAGCTGGGGGAGGAGGTATTCCTTGAAATTGTTTTCAAATTTTAATTAGCATTTTCTTTCCTTGAATTCTTGTAACTTTATATATGCATTCAGTGTTGGAACCAGACCATGTCAGGTTTGGGTGGAAGGACAAGAATATAAAGATATAAATGCAAAGCTGGTAAGTTTCACCAACTTTATGCATGCTTGAGTTTCACTACATTTAATATTTGTTTTTGGTTTATAGTTTTTTGCTTCCCTTTGTTTTTAGGAGCCAATAAAACAAGCTAAGCAAAAGGTTGCTAAAGACAAGCAGAGACTGTTGAGGCGGATTCAGATGCTGCAAACACCTAGTAAGAAATGACTTTTCCGTTTAGTGGAGATTTATAATCACTTCCACCCAATTCAATACTAGTAATTACTCAATTACATTTACTTTTTGTCTTTGAAGCCAATGTTGATGGAAGTGATGCCGAAGAGTATCAAAATCTTCTTCGTGACCTTGAAATATTGCAATTTCATGAGGACAGCATCAAAATAGTAAATTCTTATCTTTATAAATCTTCCTTAATATGTGTGATTTCATATGTATCTTTTATTGTTAGTTTTTGTTTTGCTTGTAGGATTTGGAGAAGATTGAAAATCAGATACGTTTGCATGAACAAGAAAAGACCATATATAAGCAAGAAGCAAAACGAATACAACAGGAAGATGATTCCCCTTTCCGGGGATTTCCACTACACCACAACCGATATGTGCTTCTAAACCTGCTTGGAAAAGGAGGTTTTGGCGAAGTATTTAAGGTATACTTAGAAACTTTGTGCTATATTGCCAGTGTGAAAATTTACCATTTTGATTTTAAGCATTTAAGGTATACTTAGAAACTTCATGCTTTCTAGCTATATTGCCGGTATGAAAATTTACTATTTTGATTTTATGCAGGCATTTGACATGGAGGAGAATGAGTATGTTGCGTGCAAACTACACCTTTTGGGTCCTCCGACTATCAAGAATGAGCTGTTGAAGGATGATATTCTTCGTCATATGAAACGAGAATGGAATGTCCACAAGACTTTGGTGCATCCTCACATCATCCGTCATTTGGATAATTTCACCATTAACAATTATACGTACTGCACTGTCTTGGAGCTTTGCAGTGGTGAATTCTTGAGTCACAACCATGTTCATTTAGTTTCATTATTTTTTGTGATATTTACTAACTTTAAATACCATTCTGTTTATAGGAAATGACCTACAATTTGCATTGAAGACACGGGGTACTTTTGCAGAAAAGGATGCAAAGGTACTTATTTCACAGACTTTGCATGGCCTTGCATATCTCGATGGACAAGCGGAGAGGATCATACATTATGACCTCAAACCCGCCAATATTCTCTTGGCTGATGATGGAGTTGTGAAGATATCTGACTTTGGCCTTTGCAAGGTCATGGAGGCTGGATCTGAGAGTCTGGAGCTGACTTCCCCTGGTGCAGGAACTATTTGGTGAGTTCATGACAATTTTTCCAAAACATTCAAAATATCTAGATTACTTACTTTCTTCCTTCAATAACTTCACTCTAATACATGTATTTCAATTTTTAGGTACTTACCTCCAGAGTGCTTGGTGGAAGGTGCAAACAGACAAATTTCAACGAAGGTTGGTTTGCCTTACTTTGTCTGGATTATTTCAGGATTTTCCTTTTGATTTTAACATTAGATTTACTGGAGATTTTTCTAGCCTTTGTTCATTTTTTGTATTTTGATGACAATAGATATAGTTATATTGTGATCTTGGTGGTCTGATGTCTACAGTTTAGTGTATTGTGTTGCATCTGATCTAAAACTTTTGTTGGGGATGAGATTCCATGCATAAAGAATGTCTGTGATTGATGTTAAAGATGACGCATCACTAGTTTTCTTAGGCTAAAGCAATTGCTGTAACAGAAATTATTATAAGCTATCAAATTGCGGATTATTGATTCTGTGTGGTTCAGTCTTTCTTTTTTGCAATTTGTACTTTCCTCTGTCTCAGGTGGATGTATGGTCTGCTGGAGTGGTTTTTTATGAACTCCTTTTTGGGAGAGTGCCCTTTGGTTTTGGGCCTGGTAAAACACGAGACACAATAAAGCAAGAAATTATTGCCAATGCACTTCACTTTCCACCCATTCCTAAGATCTCTTCTGAGGCGAAGGTAGCTGTTTTTTTTTTTTTTTTTTTGAAATATTTTCCAGAAATGTGGTTCTTATGTATAGCTCTGTAAATTTTGTAAAATTGCAGGCTTTCATACGGCACTGCTTGACCTATGATCAAGTTTCGAGGCCGAGTGCTGGCACATTGGTTCAAAATCCATACCTAACACCTTCCAGGCAAAATGTATCTTGGCTGGGACCAGGATCAAGTTCATCTTTTGTACACTGATGCATTATCCAAAATTTCTAAGATACAATGTCCACATTGTAACATATTTCAAAACCTATAACCTCATTCCTTGTATTAATATAAAGCACAAAATTTTGAGAAAGAAAGACTAACAAAGTATGAACAGACTATTTCACGACTTCCCTTCATCTGGCATCAGCTTCTGAAGGTGTGTTCGCCACAATAGATACAGCATGCAATCCACTACGCAACTCATCTTGCAACAGATCATATATTAACCTATGCCACTTGATCCGACTCTTCCCTTCAAATTGCTTTGAAACAATTCTCACGTTAAAATGTGTTTTGACCCCCATTGCTGCCCCCCACGCCAGCATGCCCAGCATGCTGATGAGAAATATCCTCCACTTCAAGTTCAACAGGAGTAAGCTTGTTCTCCAGCTTCTCCTTTATCCTCATTCCTCTGCTCCCCCAGTTCAAACTCGTAGCAGAATTTCTTTCACTTACATTTTCAGAAGTCAAATCCTCACCGCCGCTATCAGCACTGAAGCTCCAAATCGAACTTCCACCAGAACTCCGATTCTCGAGACGGTTTGACCCTGAATTTGAAGACCCAACTTCCTCCTCAGCCTCCACTAGCAACTAAAGCGCTTTTCTTTGCATCAGCTTCAGCATATTCAAGAATCCATTATTCCTCGAGGGCGTCAAACTCTGTTGCAGGCCAAGAAGCACAGAAAAATCAGGAGATACCCTCAAAATCTCCTCCACAGGCCTCCCAGACAAGCCATTCACAAGCAAAGCAGCAAGCCCCTTGGTGAGGACAGAATATTCTTCTGGTTGCAAATATTCGAAGAGAAGCCATTGTAGATGACATCTTTTAAAAGACTGTAAATTTTACGCAAAGAAGCAAACTTTGATTGAGGGGTGTGCAACCAAGCTCAGAATTGATAGAAAAACAAAAGATTGAAAACTTGAATTTATGAGAAAG